ATCTGACATACCCAATTATTTAGGGGTACATCCCTGATGAGAAATTAAAGGGGAAGGTAGAGATCATAAATATTTCCAGTTTATTATCTCCTATGGAAAGTGGTAATACTGTTCTCTCATGGTAAATGGTAATCTCTAAGTGGTAATATTGTTCTGCTTTTTTCCCCGAATTCATCAATCTATTTCTTTAAGGATGCTTCATTTATCTATTGTCAAGGCACTATACTGAGGACACAAAATGTGACATGTGCAATCTTAAGTTCATTGTCTCATTCAATAATTATTAAGTATCAGGAAGTGAACATACAAAGAAGACAAACTCCTCTGTTTTCTCATTCATTCTACGGAAACTGTTTGCTATGAGTACACATATCTTCCTTTAATGGACCTGTGCACTCTAGCTATGCGTCACACACTTGGTAGAAGGCCATGAACAAGACAACATAGTTGACTGCATACAATGAAGTCATAGGTAGAATATTAGGATTGTCAGTTAGGTCTTTCAGAGGTCAACATGGGAAATTCCATGAAAGCTCAGAAAAAAAAAGATACCTAATTTAGTCTCAGCCTGGGATGGGGAAGGAGGAAGGGAAGACTCCAGAGAGAGGCAGGCCATGAGCTGATACTTTAATAGTAAACAGAAATTAATAAGGCAAAGAATACTGAGGAATATGGAAAGTGGAACAGGATAAATTTGACAGATGTCAGTTTCCTGATCCACTGAGCTGAAAATGCCACCAGGTGTCCCTAGCACTATACAGTTGGGAATAAGTCTTATGGGATTGCATACATTTCTTACATTATTTTGTGTGTTAACAGGAATGCAGTCTCATCTGTAATGTTGGGGATACCTTATAACCACACAATGGAAACCCCTGCCACCTTCTTCCTTGTGGGTATCCCAGGTTTGCAGTCTTCACATCTTTGGCTGGCTATTTCACTGAGTGCAACGTATATCATATCTCTGTTAGGAAACACACTCATAATGACTGTTATCTGGATGGATTTCACTCTACAAGAGCCCATGTATTGCTTTCTGTATATTTTGGCTGCTGTTGACATTGTTATGGCCTCCTCTGTTGTACCCAAGATGGTGAGCATCTTCTTCTCAGGAGATGGCTCCATCAGCTTTAATGCTTGTTTCACTCAGATGTATTTTGTCCATGCAGCCACATCTGTGGAGACGGGGCTACTGCTAGCCATGGCTTTTGACCGCTATATAGCCATCTGTAAGCCCCTACACTACAAGAGAATTCTCACACCTAAATTGATGCTGGTAATGAGTGTGGCCATCACCATCAGAGCTGTCATATTCATGACTCCATTGAGTTGGATGTTAAGTCATCTGCCTTTTTGTGGCTCCAATGTGGTTCTCCATTCCTACTGTGAACACATAGCTGTGGCCAAGCTGGCATGTGCTGACCCCAAGCCCAGTAGTCTCTACAGTGTAATTGGCTCCTCCATTATTGTGAGTTCAGATGTAGCCCTCATTGCTGCCTCTTATCACCTAATTCTCCGGGCAGTATGTGGTCTGGCCTCAAAGAATGCTCAGCTGAAAGCATTAAGCACATGTGGCTCTCATGTGGGGGTTATGGCTCTGTACTATCTACCTGGGATGGCATCAATCTATGTGGCCTGGCTAGGGAGGGATACAGTGCCTCTGCATACTCAAGTACTGTTAGCTGATTTGTATCTGATCATTCCACCCACCTTAAACCCTATCATTTATGCCCTGAGGACCAAACAAATACGGAAGCGAACATGGAACTTGCTGATGAACTGCCTCTTTGACCACTCCAAGCTGGGTTCATAAACACACATTCTATTCGGATCTTGAGCAATCAAGATGACTCAAGATCAAGCATTCAGAGATGCCTTAGAAATCTGTAGAGCTGGTTTGGTTTGCCTAGCACCGTAAAGAGTTCTAAGATGAAGTTGTAGTATTCTTGTCGAATTTTCCAAATTCTAGCAAAATACATATTAAATGATTTTCTGATAGTATTTTAATGATTTCAATCAACTAATATCTGTATAAGAGGTAAGTCTTGGCAGAGAATATAGATTTGGGGATTTTCTTTCCTTGGCTTCTGAATTTTCTTTTCAACTTAGTACCTGATCCCCTGCCCCCACTCTGCAGAAGAAATCAATTTTTTTTGTCCCCCAGCTGACACCTGGCTGTGTCAGAATTTCTCAAAATTATTCATTTACTCATGTGATTATTATGGAATGAACTATTCTTATCTAACCCTGCCTTCTGGCCCAGTGATGAATCCACTCAACTTGGGTCATGTGCTTATACCCAGACCAAAGTTCTTCTCTAGCCAGATTGGATCCCAGTTTATCTGAGGAGATCTAAACTTGGGATCATTGTCTGTGGCCATTTTCTAACACATGAATTTATAATGAAATCTGTTCCACAGCGAGATAACCAGATTAGCAAGATGGGATAAAGAAATAGAGTCTCTGGTTTTCTGATTCCAGTTCATTTTGGACACCCAGGTGCATCCCTGTTATTAAGTTCTGTAAGATACCTCTATGTCCTTTTAATTTATTCCCTATTGTTAAGCTAGTTGGAGGCAGTGTACTCATAATCACCAGCCTTTTGCTTTGAAGCAATAGAAGCTAAGGCAATGTGAGTTTCATTGTGGACATCTTTCTCTTTGCTTCCATTCTGTTCTGCATAACTTAACTGTAAGGCATAAAAGAAAGGGATCAAATATAACAGGTCTCTGTCTGGACACCACCATGGAACTGTGCTCTAGAATGGGAAAGTTAATAAAAAACAGTATCAATAATGAAGCTGCAATGTCCCTATTCTTCTCTAGTTCACCAGATATGTATTTTGTACTTGCTTTTATTTTCCCTTCAGAAAATCTTAAACTGAATAACCAGTATATGTTAAAAGAAAAAATTTCAAATGTAAAAGATACATATATTTATTACATTTGAAATTCTTAATAAAAGATAATTTCCTAATAGTGTTCTTAACAAGTTATTATATCAGAGTCTTAGTATTTCCTTGCTACTACTGATGGAGGATACAATGTTAATTCATAGAGGATATTAAAGAAAATAATGAATAGAAACCACATAACACAATATCTGACATAATCTGTGCTTAAAAATATCCCTCTCAAATGTCTAATTCCATACTTTAAAGGAGTTCTAGGCACTACTGAAAATGTATTCCTGTGTAGGTCAACATTCATGTGATAGCTGTTCAAAACAGTAGGTTAGCAACTTGGCATCCATACCTTTTGTTAGTACTAACATTATTTACCTACCTAGTATGTATTCTATTTCCAAATACAAGTGAAGTAGGAATCAGTTTCAAAAAAATCTAATAGTGATGCACTGAGTTCCCTGTCGCGGCCGGCGCGAGAAGGTCCGGATTCAGGAACCGAGGGCAAGGGGATGAGAAAGAAACGAGACTAAAAGTTCATGGGATAGGAGGTTCCATGCAGCTGATGGCTGCAATGGACAAGCTTTATTTTTGCATGTAGAGTTTATATAGCCTCTGAAAGCAGGCAGCTTATTTCTTTAAGGAGAAGTACATCTCGCGCACAAACATAGTTTTTAAAAACTAACACCTGTTATTTGTTTAGGCAATAGAGCATGAAGGCCACATATAGACTAAACAGTGAAGTTTGTTTATTAAGTAATGTCTGCCAAGGCGGTCATGTGTCAGGCCACCTTCTTGCTTACTTTATGGGAACTTGTCTCGATAACATTTTAAAGGAGAAGCAAATATGTACATTTACTTCCATAAGGGGGAAGAGCTCGGTGCAGCCCCAGCAGGTTGGCCAGGTATGACAAGGAGCCTTTGCTCAACCCAGAACCCTGCCTCGCACCGCAGGACTGCGGGTTGGCTAGGGACAACAGGGAGCTTTGGCTCAACTTGGAACCTTGCCTCGCACTGCGGGACCGCTCCCAACAGTTCCCAATGAGTAGGAAAAAGAAATCAAGATCGAAAGACTCCTAACTCTGGGAAATGAACTAGGGGTGGTGGAAGGGGAGGTTGGTGGGGGGTGTGGTGACTGGTTGGCGGGCCGGGCACTGAGGTGGGCACTTGACAGGATGAGCACTGGGTGTTATTCTGTATGTTGACAAATTGAACACCAATAAAAAATAAATTTATTTAAAAAAAAGAAATCAAGATCATGAGATTTGGTTAAGTGCATTTAGTAAGATTTCCATTTTGGGAAGTCACACTATCCTTTCCCTATAAACAACCCAAATAATTGACTATGTTCATCAAATACAAGAATATTAGATGTATTAAAGAATCTGATGTAAAGTGACAAAGGCATAATTCACCCTGCACTCAAAACAGAAATTCCTTCCCAGTATTTCCCTCAGAAATCTGCTCTGCTTTGTGTTTCATTTACTGGTATTCCCTGAAACTAGCTGGGACCCACTGTTAGCACTCAGATATTGAATTACATACTTCCAAAGTGGACTAGTTTCCTGCCATGGCTATCCCAAGACAGAAAATCCTGTGCCTCTCCCAATAGATCAGATACCACCCCAGTCCTATTACACTAAGTAATATATCCCAGAGTCTGGGACTCACACAGATTCTCAGTGTTTGGATTTTAGATTAAAATCAATTTTGTTTGAAAAATGGGAGACTGGATTTCCTATGGAGAGTCCAAGTATTTTCCCTGTCTCTCTGCAGGACCTATTTATTTTCTGCTTTCACAGTCTTTCACCTCACAGCTCAGGCATTGCACACCTTGTTTTTCTGCTAGTGAAATAAGGATGGGCAAAGCTCATCCCTGCCTTGTAGTAAGTGATCTCACCAAGATGGAGGAGATACCCAAGTATTCCAGGGAGTGGTGCAGACATTCTACCCTCTGCATGACCACCTGCTTCCTCCCTTTCTGGAACATTTTTGTAATTACCCATTGAATCAGTATTTTATTTTTATTTTTTAAAGATTTTATTTATTTATCCATGAGACACACACACACGTGCACACAGGCAGACACAGGCAGAGGGAGAAGCAGGTTTCATGCAGGGAGCCCGATGTGGGACTCGATCCCGGGTTTCCAGCATCACGCCCTGGGGCTGAAGGCAGGTGCTAAACAGCTGAGCCACCCGGGCTGCCCCTGAATCATTTTTTTAAACAAAAATATAATTAAGTACCATCCAGTTGTTCATGTCCCTATGAGACAAGAAGAGCTTTTGTTTTGATTCTAGGCATGAGAATGAAAGGTCCCTCACTTAAATATTTATACACACCAGACAAATAAGGTTCTTAAAAAGGAAGTATAAGCAACTATTCTAGAGAAACGGATTTCATATACTTAAGAACTTCAAGATTGTTGCCTGGTCCTAAAAATCAGGCAATATGAAATAAACAGTATGTTTAACCTTGTATTTCTCACAAGTAATCATAGCACCATCAGCTTATAAATGTAAAAAAAAAAAAAAAAAACCCTCCCCAAAAACCTAATAATCCTTTTTCTAAGAGATTCCAGGATTTGTCCTAGTAAAACCATACTAAACACTGATTTGGTCCCTAGCCTCTTCCGCTAAGTGTCCATGGACATAACTGGGAGAACTTCATAAAAGTTGGATTTCTCAGGGTACCTGGGTAGCTCAGTGGTTGAGTGTCTGCCTTTGGCTCAGGTCATCATCCCAGGGTCCTGGGATTTAGTTTCACATCAGGTTCCCCACAGGTAGCCTACTTCTCCCTCTGCCTATGTGTCTGCCTCTCTCTGAGCATCTCTGATGAATAAATAAAATCTTAAAAAAAAATCGATTTCTCAAGTCTATAAATAATTCCCCAGGGTGTCTCCCTATACAGAGTGGTCCTTTTAATGTAGGTTAGCTCAACCCTTTGCCAAGACCAGGTCTGCGACTTACCAGTTCATTACTCTTGAAGCAGAAAATGGAAACTTCTCCCCTTTTGTTGTTTTTTTTTTTTAAATTTTTATTTATTTATGATAGTCACACACAGAGAGAGAGAGAGAGAGAGAGGCAGAGACGCAGGCAGAGGGAGAAGCAGGCTCCATGCACCGGGAGCCCGATGTGGGACTCGATCCCGGGTCTCCAGGATCGCGCCCTGGGCCAAAGGCAGGCGCCAAACCTCTGCGCCACCCAGGGATCCCATTCTCCCCTTTTGTTAATGCTTGAGGAGCAACTTGGAAGGATGGTGGGCAGAATGAGTTTATTTCTTCATTTTAGCCTGTTTTATTTCCTCCAAACATGAACAACCAATACAATTAAAGTAGAAAGACAATTTCTGCTATTCTTTATTACAGGAATTACTTTGCTTCTGCCTGTAGCTGACCTAGTATCTATTTTGCTGCTCAATCCTGACTCAACAGTCACTACCTTCAAGCTTAAACCACATCAGAAGTTGTGTTCCACAGCATCATGGTGACAACACATGATGTACCCATCATAGCCCCTCGTAACAGGCAAGGCCACTGGTTTCCACATGTTTGCCTTGCAATTTGTCTCCAGGCACAAGCATTCTGACATCATACTCTTAAATCCTGTAATGAATTATTTTTGGCACACATAACTGTCACTCTTAAGGCCAACAGCCCAGATATAGTTTTAATTCCCTTTCATTATAACGTATGGCTCCCAAACTGGATTTTTGTGTCTTGTTCTTCTTCTGTCATAGATTTAGAAGAGAGAAAGGCAGAATATTATATAGATACCAGAGCCATGAAGATTTCCTTGGTGACAAAAAGATCCAAAGTTTAGTCCAACTAGCTTGTGGATGAGCCTTCTTTCCAGTGCATCTGTTTTACATTTTCCTTTTTATTATTTCCATTATCTAGCCTGATGTCACAGTCCTCATTCTAATCTAAACACAGACACATATAACAGATGTACAACTGTGGCCCAGAGCCTACCACTGGCGTGGGCACCTTTCTCTCTAAATGGCTGAGACTGTCCACAGAAGTTCTTTTTTTTTTTTTTTTTAAGATTTTATTTATTCATTCATGAGAGAGAGAGAGAGAGGCAGAGGCACCTGTAGAGGGAGAAGCAGGCTCCGTGCAGGAAGCCCGATGCGGGACTCGATCCGGGGACTCTGGGGTGACGCTCTGGCCTGAAGGCAGGCGCCAAACCGCTAAGCCACCCAGGGATCCCCCAAGTCCACAGAAGTTCTAAGAAACAAAGGCACTGCTCTAAATATGCTAGCTCTAAGGCAAGGCAGGAAGGCTACCGCAGGTGAAATCTACGGCCTACCTTCCTCCATCCCTGAGAACGGGACAAAAGTACAGGATGGACCTGAGATCTTCACAATAATCCTGTGAGGTAGGAGAGTCTGCAATTACTATACCCATTTTCCCACTGAGGACACCTAAAACCCTTCCAGCATGTGGGATGTTTCAGACCCAACCACAATGAATGACACGCAGACAGGTGACCTGAGAAGCAAGTTTGTCCATCTTGTTTCATTTGAATCTTCTTTCAACAGTTTTGTGAGAAGTAACTTACTGCACTAAGGCCACCTCAGTTTCTTCATCCGTAACATGAACACAACAATAAGACTCATGGGTTTTCTGATCCTGACACTTGGAGAAAAGGGCAGGACCAGAATACAGATTTCTTAGAGTCTGAGAGAGAGTGATTTTCCCAGCTTATGTTCAGAGAGAAGATGCACACTGAAGTGGCCTGGGCAATGTTGCAAGGCATTTCTCTAGTTAAGGGGATCAGAGTTGGGTTCAAAAAGGGTTGCTCAGTAGCAGCAAACCTCAGGCAGAGCATCCTCTATTGGTATCAGGACAGCAGCCAGCTCTGGACATGAAAGGTTCTATCTTTTGGCTTTTTGGTAAGCCTTATGCAAAGGGTCTCCTGTAGGCTGGATCTACTTCAATCGTCCTCACTGACTTCATCATGGCACCCAACAAGGACTGGGCTTAGAGGAGCATGAGCTACAGAAAGGACAGAGTCCTGACTCTTACACCAACATGTTATCTTACCACTGCTCTGATCCTTGCTCTCAGCCCCATTGTGCTTCCTCCCAGGGGTGCCATGCTCATCTGACTGAGCCTCAGCTTTTTCACATGAGTAATTTAGTGAGAGATCTTGGCCCAGTAGCAGTAGACTACGGGGTCAGGCAGAGGACACCCTGAATCCTAGACTCAGCTCAGTTCAAGGGGATCCTTATTGGTGGCAGGGCCCTCCAAGGCCCTAGTGGGCCAGGATGGTGTCCCTCTTAGTCCTCCCCATCCAGGGGGCAGATGGCCAGAGGAGCCATGTTGTTTGCTCCAATGCTGTAGCAAGGACTAAAGTAGGGCAGGAGACGTCCAGGGAAGGGATAGTGAGGGAAAGTGAAGATGTGGGAGCCGTTGTCAGTCACATTGTAGAAGGAGATATCATGGGCCTCATAATCCAAGAAGACCCCCACCCGGCGGGGAGGGACTGGCAAGGACAGGAGAGGGTATTCATCGGTGCCTGCTCGGTACTCATTTCCCTTTCGCAGCCTGATCACCCAGAATCCGTAGTGGGGAGATAAATAGACCACCTCCTTCCGGTCTACATTTTCCTTACACACTCCCAGGCCCCATTCTGACCTGTCTCCCACTTCCACCTCCCAGTAGTGCCGGCCTGAGGAGATGCACTGGCTGCCCAGGACGATATTGTAGCGGTAAAATCTCTCAGGATTGTCTGGTAGATTCTGCTTGGTGTCTCCATAGTGCACACATTTTCTGTCCTCAGACACAATGAGGCGAGAATAGGCGGTGTCTGGATCCAGGCGCACATCAGCTAGGGAAAAAGACCCCAGTTGGTGATACTGACACACAGCAGAGGGCATGAGTGTGTCTTTCTGGTAAACACAGCCACAGGTTTCTCACAGATGAGCAGGACTAGGGAGAGCTGGGGCATCTAAAGGGCACCGAACCATTTTCATTCTCTAGAAGAGGTCCCTCCCACTGCCCACCATAACCTTTCCTAGCTTTCATTACCTGCATATGTCTTCAAAATCTCTCTTAGCCCCAGCACTCGGCAGTCTGTCTTCAGCTCCAGGGAGATTGGTTCTGGCCTCTGCAGACTCCAAGACTTGCTCCTGGCAGAGAAGGGGTAACGTCTTGGGGCCAGAAGTCCTGGTTCTGCCACATGGACCTTCCCTTACTATAGGAATGTCAAGGTTGGCCAGAGAGATAGTTAATGGGGTGCCCATCCCTAGCAACACAGGTAAAGCAGAGATGTGATGACCATCTGACTGTGCCTGAATGGTGTGTGGCACAGCGAGAACACTCACATTCCTGTGCTGAGGGACAGTCAGATGTGCATTTGGCAATGGGAGAGGAAATAGTGTGCCACAAAGAAGGCAGGCCGTACTCAGCTAGAGCAGGAATGGAAAGATCTGTGGCCTTTTTTCCCTTTCTTGGGCAATCTACTTGAGACTGCATGTTTTATAACTTTACCTGAAATTTTTATGAGTGATACTTGAAATGAATTTGACCAAATACAAAGAAGGAAAAAGATTCATGAACACAGCATCTTTAGCAAATACAATGAAAGATGATGCTTATCCATCAGTAGCCACTGTTCTGTGCGTACTGGGTTTATGTTCCCTCCCCATTTCTGCCTCTGGCCAGGCCCCACTATTCCTTATAGGGGTGCTTAGGGGCTCTAAGGATGGGAACATACCTGTTTAAGACTTCCTCAATACCCTGGAAGGAGAACAACAACAAAAAGCAGCACATGAGTATTTACCATTAGTCAGAGGGACCAGACAACACTGAGCTCTGGGAAGGGGTTTCTCTGAGGGAAAGAGAGGCACAGAGCAAGGCTGGACTGCTTGACTTCAGGCTTCAGCCTGACTCCCAGGCCAGAGGGGAGGGACTGGTCTTATGCCAGAGCTGCCCGAGTGCCATCTCATCTACATAAGGCTATAAAAGGCCATGCCAAGGATAGAGCAAATAGAGCAAGGGGCAGTATATGGGATCCATTATCTGGTGGGCAGAGTGTTGACAGACCCCACCAAAGACTAGCTAATCCTCTCCTGAAGTCCCATACCATCTTCAGCTCTCATCCAAGAGTTCTCAGAAAAACACACCATCTACCTGTAGCATCCAGCGGACAGGCCTCTGAGATCTCTCTTCCAGCTCTGCAATCATCTTCCACAGCGCCTGGCTCTGCTGGATGAGCTCATTGTGATTCTGCTCTAGTTTCTGCATGGTCTCCCCCTCTTCCTGCTCCAGGCTGGCCAGAGCTGCAGCTGCTTCTACCTCCAGTCGCCGACCTGGTGGCTGTTTTTTCTTTAGTAATCTCCGGTATTTCTCAAACTCCCATATAATACTCTGCTTTCGGATTTCTACCTGTATCTGTAGAGCCAGGGCCAGAAATCAGCACTGACATTGTACTTGTAAGAGCCACCCAGGACTGAGTACACTGACACTTGCTTACACACACACACACTCTGGAATGTTTTGGTACCAATCGTGTATCCAGCACCACAGAAGCCAAGAAAAAGATACTGTTTTGCCTACCTCTGTTCCCAGAGCTCCAGTACATACTTCTGGGTCCCTATCACTATTCTTAATGACCCTAGTAAGGTCCAGGATAGTATCTTGGTACTATATGCTCTAGATTATTTTCTACTTTCAGAATCATATATTCTATTGTTAGAACAATGACCAGAAGGATGACACTTAAGCCTCTAAGGCAATGTAACTTAACTACACTGTGAGTTTTGTTCCTTACTGATATCATATCAATTCAATATGCTTAATTAGACTGGTTCAATGTTATCTTCTATGGATCAAAAAGTCTGATGGTTTGGCAGTTATGGTCCTGAAATTTATTACAGAGTTGATTTTCCAGTATTTTAATAACGTAACTTTTAGTAAAAATGATCCACCTGGGGAAGGTGAAACAGAAACCACGCTTTACTAAGCATTACCTAAGTGTTACCACTGTGAGCTAATGTATACTTGAATCACATAGTTCTCCTTTCTCATATATGAGGACATAAACCTAGAGGTTATGCCTTTATCATTAAAAAGCAGCTGGAACTGAGAGGGCACATAGCTTCCTAAGGCCATGCACTTGATAGAGAATACTGGCTGGAGAACCTTGGGCTCTCTGACTTCAACACCACATTCTGCCTTACAGAGACAAAGAAGAGGAAGCTACCACGGGCCAGCTCCAGGAGAACACAGGGACCATATAGCCTCCCTCCCCCAGGTGGCAACCTGCCTTCCAGCTGGCAGTTCGTTTCCTCTCATCAACTTCCAGCTTCCAGGCCTCATCTTGCTCTTTCCTCAGATGTTCCAGAGCCTCGTGGAGTTTCCACTGAAAGAAATAAACACCTTATGAGGACATTTTAGTCAGCCCAGGTTGATGATGAGGCTTCCTAGTGTTGGCAGGCGATGGGAAAACAAGTGTCCCTTGGGCAATGGGTCAGAATGAATGCTGGAAGAAAAAGGAGTGCCACAGAGGAGTGATTTCTGCCCAGATGACATCCAGGGCGGCTCTCCACAATCATTTCAACTTCTACAGTTTCTAAGTTTCTGTAAAGTAGAAGAAAAGGTCCATTTCCAATCTTAGATATTCCCATCCATGTTTATTATTATTATTTTATTTTATTTATAAATTAATTTTTATTGGTGTTCAATTTACCAACATACAGAATAACACCCAGTGCTCATCCCATCAAGTGTCCCCTCAGTGCCCGTCACCCATTCTTTAAAGATTTTATTTATTTATTCATGAGACACACGGCGGGGAGAGGGAGGGAGGGAAAGAGAGAGACAGAGAGAGGGGGGCAGGGACACAGGCAGAGGGAGAAGCAAGCTCCATGCAGGGAGCCTGACATGGGACTCGATCCCTGGTCTCCAGGATCAGGCCCTGGGCTGAAGGTGGCACTAAACCACTGAGCCACCCGGGCTGCCCCTCCACATTCATTTTTATCTTTACCTGCCCTGTTATCTCATGGCCTCTTAAAACCTTGTTATTCAAAGTGTGGTCCAAGTGAGTGAACAGCATCCATATTACCAGAGAGCTTGCTAGAAATACAGAACCCCGGCCTTACCCTAGACCTACTGAATGAGAGCCTGAACTTAGCGAGACATTCCAGTGGTCCACACACGTATTAAAGAAGCACTATCCTAGAATACTACAAGAGTTTATTGCTGGAAAGCATAAAGTGTTCTGATAAAAATATTAACTATTCATTAAAGAATTACCAGGTGCCACACGTAGCTTTAGCACTAAACTACTACATTTAGTGCTCACAATCCCTTGAGTATTATCCCTATCTTATAGATAAGGAAACTGAGGCTTAGTGAGTGAACTACCCAGTCATTCAGCTAGTTAATGGTTGGACTGGGATTTAACCCAGCTCTCTAACTGCTATACCTATATTTCACTGCCTCCCTATTTTAAAACTTGAAATAAAATAAGTAAATACATCTAAATTTTTAAACATTACTCTTGCATAGGAAAACACCTAATTCAGAGAATTTGTCTTACACTCTGACCTTCTATTCTCAACTTTGAGAAAGAGAATTAAGATCAGTAAGTACTAGATCAGGGGATCACAGAATCACTGGGATAATGAATCTGATAAAGATATTCAGTATGGACATCTGAGAAAAGAGCAAGCTGGAAGCTGATGAGAGTAGCCTGAACTCATCCATGGCACTAAGAACCCCATCTAAACCAAGTTGGTTTCCTTCAAATTCTCAATATGGAAAGTATGTTTGGATTATACATTAAGCCATCCTGGGATCAGGGAAGGGGTGTGAAGTGGGAAAGAAGGAAATGCAAGGAGAGGTGTGGCTCACTGCATCAGGTCCCCAGGGTCTGTGGGTATGAGGAGCCAAAGGAATCAGCTCTCATTTATAGTCCCTGGGGTTCCTGGTCAAGTCCTTGATTTAGAGATAGCCAAGAACGGGGCAGGGGTGAGACTGGGGTGGCTGGCCTCCATCTCCCACCTTATATTCCCAGGTGACATCCTCCATGGGCACAACACTGTGGGCCTCATGCTCAGAGGACTGGCTGCAGGTCTCACAGATGATCAGGCCATCCTCTTTGCAGAACATCTTCAGCTGTTCCCCGTGGAGCTCACACACATCGCCCTTCAGCCCCATTCCTGGATGCAGCCCCAGCAGATGAATTTTTTCTACAACATTGGCCAACTGCCAATTAGGCCGCAGGTTCCTTGGCTGGACAGGAGCCCGGCAGAGGGGACAGGTATAATCCCAGTTCTGGGATTCTCCTGGGACCTCCCATAGTCCAGAGAGACAGCTGTGGCAGAAGCTGTGGCCACAGTCGATGCTCACAGGCTCCCTTAGAAAGGTCATACAGATGGGACAGGCCACTTCTTCCACAATGGCTTCCACCAATGCTGCAGGATCCATGGCTCCTTCTTACTCCCTCCTCAAAACATGAATAAAGCCAGGCAGAAGTAGTCAAGGCTGAGAAGAAAACAAAAACAAAAACAAGTAAGATAAAAATGTTCTTCTGTTGAAGAGCAAAGGAATAATTAGTGACTGAAAAAAGCAACTTTCTCCTTTGGATCTTTTACTGACTCTGTTTAATATATGTATTTGGGATACATGGGTGGCTCAGTGGTTGAGTGTCTACCTTTGGCTCAGGTCATGATCCCTGGGTCCTAAGATTGAGTCCTGTATGGGGCTCCCTGTGGGGAGCCTGCCTCTCCCTCTCTGCCTGTCTCCCTGTATCTCTTATGAATAAATAAATAAAATCTTAAAAAAAAAAGAACTTCAGTTGGAAAGGCCAGCACTTATGTATATATATTTTAAAGATTTTGTTTATTTATTCATGAGAGACATAGAGAGAGAGAGGTAGGTTCCCCACAGGGAGCCCCATACAGGACTCAATCCTAGGACCCAAGGATCATGACCTGAGCCAAAGGTATCCGCTCAACCACTGAGCCACCCAGGTGGCCCCCCAGCTGAAGTTCTGACTGGGTCATATTATTCATACCATTGTAGAGACATCTGGGGATGCTTATATGAGTGGATATTAGGAGTTTTCAGTTTTCATCAATTAGGTCATCTCTGACTGTCCTGAGTTTGCTTGCCAGACCATTCCCATGCTACTTCAATTACACTCTCCAAATCAGCATTGTTTCTCTTGAGCTTGGGAAAGGTCTCACAAAACGTGGTGCTTCAGTATCCAAAATAAGGCCAGGAATACCCCTAGCATTACTCTCTAGTATGCTTATATGTTTATATACTTTAAGGTTCAGAAAAGGTAATATGCCAGAAGTCCATTGCTCATATGCTGTTTGTTTTTTTGTGTTGCACACTTAAGTGTATAGTATAAGGGAACTAGCAATACTTCCTCCACATGCTCTAAACCCCTGCCCATTTCCTGGCACTAACATTCACTAAGATGCCAAGACACTCTCTTCAGCCTTCAGTGATATATTCAAAAGCAGAGATGAAATAACACCCATTGGAAAATAAAAACACAGGTCAACTGATCACAGTCAAACCCACATTGATGAAGTCATTACCCCAGCAAGAAACCTGAGATTTTTGCCAGGGACAGACATAATGTGGAACTTGGATGATCAATGGCAGACTCTTGGCTCAGTAGACAATATTTCTTTGTTCACTTTCCAAGTTTGTGTTAAATTGCTAGAATCTATAAAGGGAAGAGCCATATTGGTCTTGGTCACAGAGGCATCCTCTGCACCTAAACAGTGCCTGCCACGCTGTTGTTGTCGAATATCTGTTGAATGAATAAACCACCTAGACATAGGAAATAGCTTCTAGACCTAAAATGCTTTTAAAACTTGTTAGGTAACTGACAGCATATTATACAGTAATAACAACAATAGCAAAGATTCCTTAAGCGCTTACATTGTGCGGCAGGCACTATTCTGCGGCCTGAACACGGATTAACTCAGTTTATTTCACAACCCTCAGTGGAAACCATTATTGTATTGTTTTCATTTTACAGATTCTTGGTCCTGGGCTTTGCCCTTGTATCTTGGGCAAATTACTTAACCTCTCTAGCTTCAAGGTAGAATAAAAATTCAAGAGAGAGAAATCACTGTAATTTAGGGTAGTCCAATAGGCTTCCTGAAGAAACTGGAGTAGTATGAAGATTTTGCAGGGCTCTGTTACAGGCCAGCAGCAGGTCATGCCTTCTATCCCCTGATTTTCCACCTCTCACTATCACTGCCAAACTGTGGGATCCAGTATCCTAAAAAGTAGTTTTGTGAAATGCCTAACCTACTGAGGGCCTCACCTGGTTCCTCGCCATCAGTCCAATAGGGAAGCTCTCTCTCTTCAATCCTAAAACAGCAACTGTGCCCAGTCAAGCAAGGAGAGAAACTTCCACACTTTCTTGCAGACCCCACGTCCATTTACTCTACTCCAGCCGGGTTCCTGCTGTTTTCACAGGTTGAAATGACTTCTCCGTGATCCTGCTCTTAACATCATTTGAGGCACACACGTTTATTATCTCACTTCCCACTCTGGAAGCTTCGTGATAAGGCTGTTCTCTTACTTTGTTCACTACTATATCCCTAACATCAAAATTCCTTTAGCATTTTTTTTTTTTGAATATGAAAGAATCAAGCATAAACGTCGAGGTCTGATAGGTTAGTACAGCAGGGCACCAAGAGCTGCCACATAAAGTCGACATGAGAGAAGTTGATATCCGTGATTTAAAGCTACAAACATCGATAAGGGAATGCGACTAGAAACCGAAAATCGCGAAGACGGTGATAGTAGGGAGGTGAGGTAAAGAAACATTAAAATGATAAATCAAGAAACGCAGCAAAAGCGTATTTTTAGGTTTCAGAGGCAAAGATTCAAACGTGAGAAAGTTCAAAGTGGGTGGCCTCTGCAAGAAGAACTTAGGGGCTGGTAGCTACTATTGCTCTTCCGTGTAAGACCAGCTTTATGGATTTACTATCATTATACATAAATTACTTTGACAAAACCGTAATTGTTAAACGTTTAATTGCTTCGATCTTGCCTTTGCCAGGGTGGGGAGCTCGTCTGGAAAAGACATCTGACGCAGGAGGCGGCGTGGGGAAAAGCCTGGAGAGGAGAGGCCGCCGTGGAGAGAGGGGCGAGGGAGGCGCTGGGCCCGGGGTTCGGAGCGCAGGGGGACGGTAACCTCCCCGCCACACGAGGCGGAGCGGAGGAGAGTGAGCCTGCACGACCTCCGACTTCAGGACGCACTTCCCGCCTCAGCGGCGCAAGCCGAAAGTGGGGACGCCGGGGTCCCACAGCCGAGCGGCCCCGGCGGCCTAGGCGCCTGGCCAAGACCCCGCAGCGCTTACCGTCCGCGGGAAGGCGCGGGCTCCACAGCGGCCGGCTCTTCCGCCTCTCCCTCAGGCCTCCCAGGCCTCGCCCACATGACCGGAGCCAATGAGCAGCGGGCAGGGCGGGGCACTGGCGACGCCCGCCGGCGTCTTTGAGGGAGCAGCCAATCACAGACAGGGGTCAGGACAACCCTAGCCAATCGGAGATTGGCTCTCGGCGTGCCAATACCTTTTCTCTGCTACGTGGGTTTTTCGGGCTCCTTCTCCGGCTCGGAGTCCCTGAAGCTGTGAAGGGCCCCGGGAGTTAGTCCCACGACTGACCGAAGCGTTTCGGCTCCCCGATGAGCGCTCGAGTCCTGCATTAGGAGAGGCCCTGCTGACTCTTGACCCAAGGGACGCCCTCGCTCTCAGGCTTCCGCTCTGGCTGTCTAAAGACTCTGCAGGGCGAGCCTTGTTCCTTCCAGGGAATAGCCCCGGACCTGATGCTGTTCGTTTGACAGTTTTCTGTGTTAAACTCAGCGGCCTGTGAGGTCAGTCGCGTTTGGTTCTGTGACCCAGTGTAGCCGCGGGCCTGGGCACACATGCAGTTTCTGTAAGATGAGTGACCTCTCGGCTTCAGGCTGCACGTACTGGGTTCTTAGGGAAAAAACTCTCCTGCATTTTCCTGGCAAGCTCTTATCCTTTAATACTTAAGCAGGCAGCTTCTCATCACTTATTGCCACAATCCACTTTAAAATTAGAAACAGAAGGGGTCCCTGGGTGGCTCAGCGGTTTAGCGCCTACCTTCAGCCCAGGGCGTGATCCTGGGGACCTGGGATTGAGTCCCACGTCGGGCTCCCTGCGTGGGGCCTGCTTCTCCCTCTGCCTGCATCTCTGCCTCTATCTGTGTCTCTCATGAATAAATAAATAAAAGTCTTTTAAAAAAAAATTAGAAACAGTGCACTTTTCCTGAAGAGCACAGGGTGTTGTATGGAAGGGGTTGAATCACTATATTGTGCACTTGAAATAATAACACTGTTAACTAGCTGGAAGTAAAATAAAAACTTTTCAAAAAAGTTAGAGACAGATCCTGAGATCTGATAGAGTGGAAGTGGACTGCCTGGTCACAAATTGTCTTTAAATACGTATTTTTAAATTTTTAAATGACTGGTACCCCTCCCTAGCCTAAAGAGATACGCTTAGTCTTGTGCACACACAAACTGCTACTTAAGGTAGTGATTTGGGTTTTTCTTTGCATTCACAGCACCTTGTGCTTTTTCTAATACTTAGGTGTTTACCGAATAAGCAAAGGCATATCCTATCCATGTGGAGAAAAACCAGAAAATGCTCCAATTGAAGCCCAGTTCCAAACGATTTCATTGTTGGGACTGGTAACTCTGGATCCTCATGCTAATGTCAGGGCTCAGTCCCTAGTTGAAATTCTGAAGAGTGAGGACCAGAAAATTCTTGCAACAAATGGGACAGTGAGCAAAGAAAGAAGAAAAGAGGTAACTGCTGTCTCAGTTGGATCAGCTTACTCACCTTGATCAGGGGGAAATGGCTGCTGCAACAGAAGAGGGCTAAATGAAAGAAGCCATTTTAAACATTATTTTTGTTGGAATTACAACTATGAGCTGTTCGTTCAGTCTCTGCTCGCAAGAACTCAAGATGAAGTTGGTTGTATTCTGGAGCTTCTGTGAAATTAAAATAGTTAATGAGGAGATCATTTTCATTTGTAACTTCCAATTGTCTATGACCATGAGTGACTCTCAAGGGCCCAGACAAAGGAGCAGCTCAGAGTTGCTGGGGAAGAGGGCTTGTGTTCACCAAGGGAAGGCTAGCCAGAAAGCTTTTGAAGGCCTATCAGCCCATCACCTCTGCAGAGAAGCTGTCCTTCCCAGCCTCATGTATGGTGCCTTGTTTGCTGTGAAATGCAGACATTTGTGTGCAGGCGAGGCTCTGTTTTGGAGACATTCCAGGGCAGTAACTGCAGATCACAGCCCTCTACCTGAATCCAAGACAGACCAGGACAATGAGGTGAGTGGCTAGCTGTGAGATGATATCTGTGCTGTGGGTGAGGAATGTTACCATAAGAGAAGTAAAGACTGAGAACTGATTAAGGAAGCAGGGAAGAAGGTGAGGGCATAGAAGAAGTAAGGCCAAGGAATGGGTAGGAAGTTGGTACAAACCCTGGGGCCTCACTAAGCTTCATACAAACTTAGGCTTAAAGTTTAGAGGGTAGGAGAGAGTTGCCCATGGTAATGGGATAGCAGTTGGAAGAAAAATTTGCAAGGCGTGGAGGCTAGGAGGAGTGCAGCTCAGACAATGGGTAGTTACTCCCTCTACCTCAAAGGTCTCTTTACGGAACTTTTACGATAGAATAAGACCTCCTGTTCTTCCAGTATTCTAGATGGTCTTCAGTTTCCAGAAAGCAAGGCTGATATTTCCTCAGAGTCCAAGTAGGGGAAGTTAGGGCATCCCTCCCCCATCCGCTCAATGTTAGACTAAGAGGGAAGAAATCTCAGCATAGAACAGCAAAGCCACAGGCCTTTGTTAATTTTCTCACTTAGGCAGGGAAAGAGAGTCAGGGATAGAGGAGCATGGGGAGCCTAGAAGCTAAAACCTAGAATTCTGTCTAGAGGACGTGGAGAGACTTTTTGGAAGTGCTCCTATGTCACTGGAGGCAAGTGAAAGTGACTGGGGAGTCACTGTCCCAAGAGACTGAGAACAGGGAGTAGAGAGAAGGGAGCAAGTTTAGAAGGTAAGAAAGGAGCAGTAGTAGGAAGAAGATGTACTTCAATGTGGCTTCAGTGTGAAATGCCATGGATGGGAATATAGCAGTATGTATACATGGGTGAGATATTTTCAAAACTAAATAAATATATAGTATATTATTTTTTATTTATAGTTACCAAGATATGTTTATATCTTTGTGTATTTATATATGAGAATCTAACTATATGTGACAATAGCAAGTGTTAATAGTTATATAACTATAACTATATAAATAGTTATATGTTAACAGAAGGGTATCTGGATGGTTGGGTGAGGAACTGAGCCAGATAAATACTGTTAATTGGTTTTGATATTAAGTGTTATGTTGGATTAAAAAAATAAGAAATAGCTTTACAGTTCATTGTATTGATAGCTATTTAGATTTCTTTCAACTTTTAACCTCTTTCAGTAAGTTATTATCCTCAGAATGTCAATGTGTCTATGATTTATGAAAGTATAAGTATGCAAAGTTGTAAAATTGTGATTTATAATAAGAAATATATATATTTGGCCTTCTTTCCTGTGTTTGGCACAGAGCTCCTGAAACCCTTGGAATTTCCTATGTGGTGAGAGCTGTGAGAGTGTCTTTTGTTGTGTTCATGAGATGACTTTTGGACCTCACCTAAGGATGGGAGCTTATGGCCAAGAGAACCCATATTATGATTAGAGGGTTGTAAGTTTCAGTCATACTCTCCCCCTGCCTCTGATATCCAGGGGAGGAGAGATGGGCTGGAGATTGGATCAGTCCCCAGTGGCCAGTGATTTAATCAGTCATGCCTATGTAATGAAGCCTCCATAGAAACCCAAGAGGACAGGGTTGGGAAAGCTCTGGATTAGAAACTGTGTGGAGGTGCTGGGAGAGTGGTACACCTAGAGAGGGCATGGAAGCTCTGCACTCCTTCCTGTACCTCACCCTAAGTATCTCTTTCATAGGGCTGTTCCTGAGTTGTATGCTTTAATAATAAACCAGTAATCTAGTAAGTATGATGTTCCCCTGAGTTTTGTGAGCCCCTCTAGCATATTAAATGAATCCAAAGAGGAACCTCTGGTTTATAGCCAGTAGGTAGAAGTATAGGTAACAACATGTGGGTGTGTGTGTGGAGGGAGGTGTGTGTGGGGGGGTGGAGATCAGGGGGCAGCAGTCTTGTAGGACTGAATGCTTAACCTGTGGATCTGATGCAATTTTGGGGTAAATAGTGTCAGAATTGAGTTGAATTCTCACTCTGCTAATGTCTGAGAATTGCTTGTTCACCACCCCCACTCCTTCACAGGATAAATTGGGTCCAGCAACCCAAATTAAAAGTATAACTTATTTTTCTCCATTTCTAGGCCTTTTCTTGATTGTGATCTCTAATATTATGTGTTTACCACTATTTTTTTTTCCTGAGAGATTTATCTTTATTGCCAAAGGTACTTATTGTTCTATTCAAGGAATCTGTTAATTTATGATTATTTTAACTTTCTTTTTTTTCCCCCCTGATTTTATCCTCACTGTATTTTTCTTTATTTTACTTTTGGTCATTCTCTTTTTTCCCTTGTTTCTTGCATTACTTTTCAGTTTATTTATTGAGGAGTGTAAAGTTTTCTCTAAATTCATGTCAGGCTATATTCTGTACATTGTAATGGCACTCTTATTGTATTAAATAAGCTGTTTTGAACTTAGTTTTCTCCAGAAGTTGTTGGGTTAGGTTTTTTTTGTTTGTTTGTTTGTTTTTGTTTTTTTTAATGGAGCATAGTTGACACACAATGTTACATTAGTTTCAGGTATATAACATAGTGATTCCACAAGTCTATATGTTATGCCATGGTTACCACAAGTGAAGTTTTAAATATATAAGTACAGGAGACCTTGAACAACACAGATTTGAACTATGCAGGTCCACTTATACACAGACTTTTTTAGAGTACACTATTATAAATGTATTTTCTTTTCCTTATGATTTACTTAATAATCTTTTCTTTAGCTTACTTTATTGTAAGTACAGTATTTAATACATATACAAAACACGGGTTGACTGTTTATCAGTAAGGCTTCTGGGTAACAGTAGGGTATTAGTAGTTAAATTTGAGGGGAGTCGAAAGTTAAATGTGAAATTTTGACTGTGCAGGTTGTATGTGCATACAACAACCCTAGAGGGTGGCTAGTGCCCTTAATGCTTACATTGTTAAAGGGTCAACTGTAATTTTTTTAAGGCTTGCTATTATTTTGTGACCACAATGCATAAAAATTTATTTTTAAAATACAATTACAATCTTGC